GATCGATGTTTATAAACAATGTTACTTTGTATCTCTCTATCTCCCGTCTGATCAATGTTTATAAACAATGTTACTTTGTATCTCTCTATCTCCCATATGATCGATGTTTATAAACAATGTTACTTTGTATCTCTCTATCTCCCGTCTGATCGATGTTTTTATAAACAATGTTACTTTGTATCTCACTACCTCCCGCTGATCGATGTTTATAAACAATGTTACTTTGTATCTATCTCCCATCTGATCGATGATTTTATAAACAATGTTACTTTGTATCTATCTCCCGTCTGATCGATGTTTATAAACAATGTTACTTTATATCTCTCTAGCTCCCCTCTGATCGATGTTTATAAACAATGTTACTTTATATCTCTCTAGCTCCCGTTTGATCGATGTTTATAAACAATGTTACTTTATATCTCTCTAGCTCCCGTTTGATCGATGTTTATAAACAGTATTACTTTGCATGAGCTCCCATGATCAATTTTCTCAAATTTGAAGTGATCTCACTAGATGAAACGACCATATAAGGTCATGTACAGCAGGTTGTGGAGATCCTCCTTGGGCATCCGAATCCCTCTCTTTGGGCACCTCATATACCTGGTTCAGTGTAGAATAGGGTCCTGTAGAAGCTGCCTATTCTCCTGATCAGCAGTTCTTGTCTAGAGGGAGAACAAAAACCTTCTATGGGACCTTATTCTACATTCTCTGCCTCCTTACATCCTCCAGAGTGCCCCCCTTACTGCTCCCTACATCCTCTTTTAGAGTGCCTACTTAGTGCCCCTCTGAGTCATCTTTCACAGTGCCCCCTACATCCTCCTCTTCCAGAATGTCCTCCTAAGTTCTCTTCTTCCTTAGTGCCCCCTTGCATCCTCCTCTTTCACAGTGCCCCTTTATGTCCTCCTCTTCCAGAATATCCCCTCACGTCCTCCTCTTTCACAGTGCCCCTTTATGTCCTCCTCTTCCAGAATATCCCCTCACGTCCTCCTCTTTCACAGTGCCCCTTTATGTCCTCCTCTTCCAGAATATCCCCTCACGTCCTCCTCTTTCACAGTGCCCCTTTATGTCCTCCTCTTCCAGAATATCCCCTCACGTCCTCCTCTTTCACAGTGCCCCTTTATGTCCTCCTCTTCCAGAATATCCCCTCACGTCCTCCTCTTTCACAGTGCCCCTTTATGTCCTCCTCTTCCAGAATATGCCCTCACGTCCTCCTCTTCCAGAATGTCTCTTAACATCCTCCTCTTTCAGAGTACCATCGTTCATAGTTTCATAGTTAATCTGGTTGAAAAAAGACACAAGTCCATCCAGTTCAACCAATAGAGGGAAAAAAATGTATGTTTAATTGTAAAAATACACAATCCTATACCCACATCCTCCTCTTCCTGCATGCCCCCTTATGTCCTCTTCCAGAGTGCCTCTTTAGTGTCCCCTTATGTCATCTAATTCCAGAGTAACCCTTATGTCCTCCTTTTCCAGTGTGCCCCCTTATGTCCTTTTCCGAGTGCCTCCTTAGTACCCCTTTATGTTCCTCCCTTTCCAGAGTACCTCCTTATGTCCTCCTTTTTCAGAGTCCCCCCTAATGCCCCCTTACGTTCCTCCTTTTCCAGAGTGCACCCTTATGTTCCTCCTTTTCCAGAGTGCCCTCTTATGTCCTCCTTATGTAATCTAATTCCAGAGTACCCCTTATGTCCTCCTTTTCCCTGCTTAGTGCCCCTTTATGTCCTCCTCTTCCAGAGTGCTCTCTTAGTGCCTACTTACGTTCCTTTTTTTCCAGAGGGCCCCCTTATGTCCTTCTTTTCCCAAGTGCCTCCTTAGGGCACCTTTATATTCCTCCCTTTCCAGAGTGCCCCCTTATGTCCTTTTCCAGAGTGCCCCCTTATGTCGTTCTCTTCCAGAGTGCCTCCTTAGTGCCCCCTTACTTTCCTCCCTTTCCAGAGTGCACGCTTACATTTCTCCTTTTCCAGAGTGCCCCCTTTATGCCCCCTTACGTTCCTCCTTTTTCAGAGTGCCCCCTTATGTCCTCCTTTTCAAGAGTGTCCCTTTATGTCATCTAATTCCAGAGTACCCCTTATGTCCTCCTTTTTCAGAATCCCAGCTTAGTGCCCCCTTATGTCTCCTCCTCCTCTTCCAGAGTGCTCTCTTAGTGCCCACTTACGTTCCTTCTTTTCCAGAGTGCCCCTTTATGTCCTTTTTTTCCAGAGTGCCCCCTTATGTCCTCCTTTCCCAGAGTGCCCCCTTTTGTCCTTCTCTTCCAGAGTGCCTCCTTAGTGCCCCCTTACATTCCTCTCTTTCCAGAGTGCCCCCTTATGTCTTCCTCTTCCAGAGTGCCACCTAAAGCCCCCTTACATTCCTCCTTTTCCAGAGTGCCCCCCTTAATGCCCCCTTACGTTCCTCCTTTTTTCAGAGTGCCCCCTTATGTCCTCCTCTTCCAGAGTGCCCCCTTAATGCCCCCTTATGTTCTTCCTTTTTCAGAGAATCCTCTTATGTCCTCCTTTTCCAGAGTGTCCCCTTATGTCATATAATTTTAGAGTACCCCTTATGTCCTCCTTTTCCAAAGTGCTCTCTTAGTGTCCACTTACGTTCCTTCTTTTCCAGAGTACCCCCTTATGCTCTTCTTTTCTCAAGTGCCTCCTAGTGCCCCTTTATATTCCTCCTTTTCCAGAGTGCCCCCTTATGTCCTTTTCCAGAGTGCCCCCTTATGTCCTTCTCTTCCAGAGTGCCTCTTTAGTGCCCCCATACATTCCTCCCTTTCCAGAGTGCCCCCTTATGTCCTCCTCTTCCAGAGTGCCCCCTAAAGCCCCCTTTACGTTCCTCCTTTTCCAGAGTGCACCCTTAATGCCCCCTTTTGTTCCTCCTTTTCCAGAGTGTCCCCTTATGTCATCTAATTGCAGAGTACCCCTTATGTCTTCCTTTTCCAGAGTGCTCTTTTAGTTCCCATTTACGTTCCTTCTCTTCCAGAGTGTCCCCTTATGTTCCTCCTTTTTCAGAGTGCCCCCTTATGTCCTCCTTTTTCAGAGTGCCCCCTTAATGCCCCCTTATGTTCCCGAGTGCCTCCTTCGCACCCCCTTATGTTCCTCCTCTTCCAGAGTGCCCCCTTATGTCCTCCTCTTCCATAGTGCCCCCTTATATCCTCTTCATCCAGAGTGCCCCCTTGCTTCCTCCTCTTCCAGAGTTTGCCCCCTTATGTTCCTCCTTTTCCAGAGTGCCTGCTTAGTGCCCACTTATGGCATCCTCTTCTAGAGCACCCATTTATATCCTGGGTATGGACGGTCGACAACACTGCATGGTGGTTGGGTAGGAAGTTTGGACTGGTTGATTTTAGGATTGCACTTGTACACTTATGTACGGTATTTTTTATTGATGTTTTTAAGCAATATTGCACTCTTAGATTGTAAGCTCCCAGGATCAGACCCTCCTATCCCTCTTGTATTGAACTGTATTGTTGCTGTATTGTCTCCCTTTATATTGTAAAGCGCTGAGCAAACTGCTGGCACCATAAATCCTGTATAATAATAACTATGGTTGTCCTCTTCTGCTTTCTGTACACTTATGGTGGGGGGGGGGGGGGGGGGGGGGTGGGGGGGGGGGGGGGGGGGGGGGGGGGGGGGGGTGGGGGGTGGAGAAGTGAAGAACCTTGGAGGCTGTGGTGATATAAAGAGGGAAAGTGGCACCTAGTGGCTGTTTGTATAATTACACATTCCTGACATGACCCATTTACTTATGAGGGCCTAACTTTCTGGTGAGAGTTTTTAAAGTTTTTCGAGCATGACAAAGATGAAAATTTGAAGATTGATCCTTACTGGCATGAATTATATTGGTACAAATGTTATTTTGATTTAGCAGACCAACTGGCTCTAAGTGGCGAGAACATATTGTTTATACTTGTGGAACCTATTTTTTGGGGGATTGGTCCTGGAGGGATTTTATTTTCTTTGAGGAATATCCTATGCACTGAGTCTATATGTACTTACCTCTTTACCAGTTCAGTGGAGTGAAGGTACACTTCTAGCAATCCAGTGGACTGATGGTACCCCTCTACCAGTTCAAAGGAAGGAAGGCACCCCTCTACCAGTACAGCGGAATGAAGGTACCCCCCCTCTACCAGTTCAAAGGAAGGAAGGCACCCCTCTACCAGTACAGCGGAATGAAGGTACCCCTCTACAGTTCAAAAAGGAAGGAAGGCACCCCTCTACCAGTACAGCGGAATGAAGGTACCCCTCTACCAGTTCAAAGGAAGGAAGGCACCCCTCTACCAGTACAGCGGAATGAAGGTACCCCTCTACCCCTCTACCCCTCTACCAGTACAGCGGAATGAAGGTACCCCCTCCCAGTTCTACCAGTACAGCGGAATGAAGGGTACCCCTCTACCAGTTCAAAGAAGGAAGGACCATACAGCGGAATGAAGGTACCCCTCTACCAGTACAGCCAAATGAAGGTACCCCTCTACCAGTACAGCGGAATGAAGGTACCCCCTACCTAGCCAAATGAAGGTACCCCTTACCAGTTTAGCGGAATGAAGGTACCCCTCTACCAGTTTAGCGGAATGAAGGTACCCCCTCTACCAGTTTAGCGGAATGAAGGTACCCCTCTACCAGTTCAGCAGAGTTGAAGGAAGCCCTCTACCAGTTCAGCAGAGTAAAGGAACCCCTTTACCAGTTCAGCAGAGTGAAGGAACCCCTCTACCAGTTCAGCGGACTGAAGGTACCCTCTACCAGTTCAGGGGACTGAAGGTACCTCTCTACCAGTTCAGCGGAGCGAGGGTACCCCTCTACCAATTCAGAAGAGTGATGACACCCCTCTACCAGTTCAGTGGAGAGATGACACCCCTCTACCAGTTCAGTGGAGAGATGATACCCCTCTACCAGTTCAGTGAAGAGATGATACCCCTCTACCAGTTCAACGGAGTAAAAGAGCCCCTTTACCAGTTCAGCGAAATGAAGGTACTCCTCTACTAGTTCAGTGGAGTGAGGGTACACCTTTACCAGTTCAGCAGAGTGATGGTACCCCTCTACCAGGGGCGTACTGACCATTTGGAAACTCGGGCACTGCCTGAGGGCCCGGGGTCAATAGGGGGCCCCATGAGATGCCCCTGGTACCCTTTTCATAGCTTTTTTGAGTTTGGGCAAGGACACAGGGGCCCCATGATCCCCTATTGCCCGGGGGCCCCATGAGTTGTCAGTCCGCCCCTGCCCTCTACCAGTGCAGCGGAGTGATGATACCCCTCTACCAGTTCAGCTGAATGAAGGTGCCCCTCTATCAGTTCAACAGAGTGATGGTACCCCTCTACCAGTTCAGCGGAATGAAGGTACCCCTCTATCAGTTCAGCGGAATGAAAGTACCACTCTACTAGTTCAGTGGAGTGATGATACCCCTCTACCAGTTCAGTGGAGTAATGATACCCCTCTACCAGTTGAGTGGAGTAAAGGAACCCCTCTACCAGTTCAGCAGACTGAAGATACAGGGGCCCCATGATCCCCTATTGCCCGGGGGCCCCATGAGTTGTCAGTCCGCCCCTGCTCTCTACCAGTGCAGTGGAGTGATGATACCCCTCTACCAGTTCAGCAGAATGAAGGTGCCCCTCTATCAGTTCAACAGAGTGATGGTACCCCTCTACCAGTTCAGCGGAATGAAGGTACCCCTCTATCAGTTCAGCAGAATGAAAGTACCACTCTACCGGTTCAGCGGAGTGAAGGTACCCCTCTACAAGTTCAGTGGAGTAATTATACCCCTCTACCAGTTCAGCGGAGTAAAGGAACCCCTCTACCAGTTCAGCAGACTGAAGGTACCCCTCTACCAGTTCAGCGGACTGAGGGTACCCCTTTGCCAGTTCAGCGGAGTGATGGTACCCTTTTGCCAGTTCAGCGGAGAGATGGTACCCTTCTGCCAGTTCAGCGGAGTGATGATACCCCTCTACCGGTTCAGCGGAGTGAAGGTACCCCTCTACCAGTTCAGTGGAGTAATGATACCCCTCTACCAGTTCAATGGAGCAATGATACCCCTCTACCAGTTCAGCGGAGTAAAGAAACCCCTCTACCAGTTCAGCAGACTGAAGGTACCCCTCTACCAGTTCAGCGGAGTGATGATACCCCTCTACCAGTTCAGTGGAGTAAAGGAACCCCTCTACCAGTTCAGCAGACTGAAGATACCCCTCTACCAGTTCAGTGGACTGAGGGTACCCCTTTACCAGTTCAGCGGAGTGATGATACCCCTCTACCAGTTCAGCGGACTGATGGTACCCCTCTACCAGTTCAGCGGAATGAAGGTATCCCTCTACCAGTTCAGCGGAATAAAGGAGCCACTTTACCAGTTCAGCAGAATGAAGGTACCAATCTACTAGATCAGCAGAGTGAAGGTACCTTTCTCTCAGTTCAGTGGAGGGAGGGTACCCCTTTACTAGTTCAGCAAAGTGATGGTGCCCCTCTACTAGTTCAATGGAGTGATGGTACCTCTCTACCAGTTCAGTGGAATAAAGGTACCCCTCTACCAGTTCAGCAGAGTGATGATACCCCTCTACCAGTTCAGCGGAATAAAGGTACCCCTCTACCAGTTCAGTGGATGATGATACCCCTCTACCAGTTCAACAGAATAAAGGAACCCCTATACCAGTTCAGTGGAATGAAGGTACCCCTCTACTAGTTCAGCGGAGTGAAGGTACCCCTCGAGCAGTTCAGTGGAGTGATGATACCCCTCTACCAGTTCAGTGGAGTAAGGTACCCCTCTACCAGTTCAGCGGAGTGAAGGAACCCCTCTACCAGTTCAGCAGACTGAAGGTACCCCTCTGCCAGTTCAGCGGACTGAGGGTACCCCTTTACCAGTTCAGTGGAGTGATGATACCCTTTGCCAGTTCAGCGGAGAGATGGTACCCTTCTACCAGTTCAGCGGAGTGATGATACCCCTCTATCCCAGTTCAGCGGAGTTGAAGGTACCCTGCTCTCTACCAGTTCAGTGGAGTAATGATACCCCTCTACCAGTTCAATGAGCAATGATACCCCTCTACCAGTTCAGCGGAGTGAAAGAAACCCCTCTACCAGTTCAGCAGAACTGAAGGTACCCCTCTACCAGTTCAGCGGAATGAAAGTACCACTCTACTAGTTCAGTGGAGTGATGATACCCTCTAACCAGATGATACCCCTCTACCAGTTGAGTGGAGTAAAGGAACCCCTCTACCAGTTCAGCAGACTGAAGATACAGGGCCCCATGATCCCCTATTGCCCGGGGGCCCCATGAGTTGTCAGTCCGCCCCTGCTCTCTACCAGTGCAGTGGAGTGATGATACCCCTCTACCAGTTCAGCAGAATGAAGGTGCCCCTCTATCAGTTCAACAGAGTGATGGTACCCCTCTACCAGTTCAGCGGAATGAAGGTACCCCTCTATCAGTTCAGCAGAATGAAAGTACCACTCTACCGGTTCAGCGGAGTGAAGGTACCCCCAGTGGAGTGACTACTCAGTTCAGTGGAGTAATTATTATACCCCCTCTACCAGTTCAGCGGAGTAAAGGAACCCCTCTACCAGTTCAGCAGACTGAAGGTACCCCTCTACCAGTTCAGCGGACTGAGGGTACCCCTTTGCCAGTTCAGCGGAGTGATGATACCCCTTACCGGTTCAGCGGAGTGAAGGTACCCCTCTACCAGTTCAGTGGAGTAATGATACCCTCTACCAGTTCAATGGAGCAATGATACCCCTCTACCAGCTCAGCGGAGTAAAGAAACCCCTCTACCAGTTCAGCATGGACTGAAGGTACCCCTCTACCAGTTCAGCGGAGTGATGATACCCCTCTACCAGTTCAGTGGAGTAAAGGAACCCCTCTACCAGTTCAGCAGACTGAAGATACCCCTCTACCAGTTCAGTGGACTGAGGGTACCCCTTTACCAGTTCAGCGGAGTGATGATACCCCTCTACCAGTTCAGCGGACTGATGGTACCCCTCTACCAGTTCAGCGGAATGAAGGTATCCCTCTACCAGTTCAGCGGAATAAAGGAGCCACCTTACCAGTTCAGCAGAATGAAGGTACCAATCTACTAGATCAGCAGAGTGAAGGTACCTTTCTCTCAGTTCAGTGGAGGGAGGGTACCCCTTTACTAGTTCAGCAAAGTGATGGTGCCCCTCTACTAGTTCAATGGAGTGATGGTACCTCTCTACCAGTTCAGTGGAATAAAGGTACCCCTCTACCAGTTCAGCAGAGTGATGATACCCCTCTACCAGTTCAGTGGAATAAAGGTACCCCCTCTACCAGTTCAGCGGAGTGATGATACCCCTCTACCAGTTCAACAGAATAAAGGAACCCCTATACCAGTTCAGTGGAATGAAGGTACCCCTCTACTAGTTCAGCGGAGTGAAGGTACCCCTCGAGCAGTTCAGTGGAGTGATGATACCCCTCTACCAGTTCAGTGGAGTAATTATACCCCTCTA